GTTTATCTTTGAAAATCGTAAATAAATATAATTATTTTACTTCAATGACTGAATTTTAAAAAAAAACGGGATATTTATTTAAAAAAACGAAACTTTTAGAGAATCGGAGTTTTTGATAAAAAGGCTGAAATTCGAGAGACAAAAAAAATCTCATCCCTGTATAAAGGTCAACCAGTTTTATCCCAAGGAAATGATTTTTAGAGAAACTTCAGAGGGAGGAAAAGGGACTTCAACAATTTCCCTTCGCGGAAAATTAAATTCCTCATAAAATATTTTAACTTGTGCAAAAAAAAATTTCAGCGGAAATTAGCGGGAAAAATCTGAAAAAAAGCGGAAATCCGCGGAAGAATCTCATCCCTGATCTAATCCTATGAGTGGAGAGCTGAAGAGCCCTAGGTAGAAATGATACATTACCTGGATTTCCTAGTCTGGCAAAGGCCCAGGATTAAGCAAGACCGGCAGCTTGTCTTACGAGCCTCCAAAAGGCTTAACTTTCACCCCTCCTTCATTCTCAGCTGAGTGTTTCTTCATGAAACACGCTTTTTAATGGAAGGTGAACTGTTTGTGAATACGAAATATCAGCAGATGGACGGTTTTTCGAATGCCCTGTATCAGAATTTTTTTGGACTTTCTGCGACATACCTCTCTAATACTAATATCTTTCTGCAAGATACTTTTAAAAATAACAAATATACATGTTTTGTTGCTAAATTAGAGTAACAAAAGCATCAACTTAAATTCAAATAAAGTAACTTTTCGGATCAAATAAAAAATTTTTTTAAATATGTAATATTTTTTAAATTCTAATATTATAGGATATATTCTCGCATTTTGTAAACTCATGTCATAATTTTTTTTTTTTTTTTTAAACTCGTGATATCTGTAGCAGTAAATCGGACTCTTCAAAAAAAGGTTGCTAAATGCGCGTTTTCATTTCCAGATTCAGTTGTTGTAATAAATATCATTAAAAAAATTAAAACGAAACTTTCTGTAGAAAAGAAAACCAAATCTTTTACTTAATTGATCTTTATTTTTCATTGTTCTACAATGAGAATAGAAAAAGGCATCTTTTGAACATAATTCTGAAGAAAAGATAAAATCTTTCGAAAATTTCTCCAGAAAAATTACTTAGCAAAAAATTTTTTCTGCAAGAACGCAGAAACGTTCTGCGACAATGTCGCCATGGGGTTCGAATGATTAGTGCCATTCACTATTACAGGGTGCGTAACTAAAGATTACAACAAAAGAAGCACCTTTCAAGCACTCAAAAAATATTTTTAAGCACTATATACATTAACAAAATAATTTTAAAAGACTTTACTTAATCATGATTAAAAAAAAACTAGTTTCTTGATTACATTTGCCATTATAAAATGATCAAGAGATTTTTCGGTTCGATATCAGATAGCGGAAAATGAAGCCTGAAATTGAGAATATCTCGCCAAGTGCAATTATCTAACCGAACCCAGCTCAGTAGACGCAAAGGCGGACTCGCAAGTATTACATCAAACATGTAGTAATATGATTGGAGCTTTCAAACGCTATAGACGCCTAAATAGATGGCTGAGTGAAAAACCGATTTGCATAATACGTGCCGAAAATAGACATGGTAAAGAAAAAAATCTTATTTCAAAAAGGAAAAATTAAGCACATTTTAAAAACACCCAATGAAAAAAGGCACCTTTAAGGCCTTTTTAAAATTAAAAAAAAATATATACATCGAAAATAAGCACCTTTTAAAAACGCTACGCACCTTGAAGTAATACTATTAAGGCTAAAACGACCTACTGTATGTGAATACGCAATATCAGCAAACGGGCGGTTTTTCGAATGATTAGAACCGCCAACTATCAATACATTATCATTCCACAGATTCGTCATCTCTGAGATCATTTAAAGGAAAGCTAAAAACGCCCCATTAATTCTGAATATGTAATATCCTCAGCAGGTGGGCGGTTTTTCAAATGATTAGAACTATTAAAACTTCATTAGAATTTAAAAAAAAAAATTAAGAAAATAAAGTTACATTTATTTGGGTGTAAATCTAGTTTAAGTAAAAAAATTTTAAAANGCCCAAAAAAGCACCTTTAAGTACTTTTTACAAACGCTACGCACCCTGTTTAAGTAAAAAAATTTTAAAAAAATGAAGAAGACTATAATTTAATAAAAATTTATTTTATTACATATAAATGTTTCATCGATAATCTTAACACTCTTACAACCATTTTTACATGAACATATCAAGATAATGAAAAACATCAAAACTTATTCCAGATTTTTAAGGTGACAGGACGTAGTTTCAAACTTTTCAGTAATCAGAGCTAATGAATATTTTCAGTGTGATTGACTCAGTATTTTTTTTTTTTTTTTTTAAAAAGGATGNTTTTTTTTTTTTTTTTTTTTTAAAAAGAGGAATTGGGAAGTATTTTTTTTTTTTTTATTTTTAAAAAAGGAATTGGGAAGTTTTTTTCCAATAATTATATACAAGTGCTTCCAAATAACTTGCAAATTATTTGTGTAAATGCTATCATTTTTGTACAGGATAAACATATAAATCAAGTTAACTAATAGTATTCATATGATACTAAATGAAACTCTTAATAATTCATTTCTATAACATTTATACACAATTAAAGCATAATTATACTAAGTATTAAATAACATTAAACTAAAAGAAGTAATAAATAAAGTTTGAAAAAATTTCTGAAAAATCTGAGAATATTCATACTTTAATCATGTACACAATGAAAGGTAGCGAAAATGTTCAGCATAAAAAAAATCTCTACTAAACTGTTATATTTTGGAAGATAAAAACACAGTTGCATTTCTTGAGGAATACATTTATATGTATGTTTAGAGGCAAAACTAGCAGACTTTAAAGTTTTTCACTTTGAATTATGCACATCTTTAAATCTATCTGACACCTATTATTATTTTTTTTAAATCCTTATAGTGTAAAAAATTATCAAAAAAAGATAAATTTATAAAAAGAAAAAAAGTTAAACATTGACTATTTATGTGCATTTTAAAAAAGAATGTGAGTTTTGCATCCTCCACACATATTATGTAAGCAAAATTGTTACATTTAAGTTTAAAATACTATGCAATTTAGCAAATTTTAGAGCAGAAAAATATTAATCAATTGATAAAAACTATATTACAGATGTCAAAGTATGAACACTATTGTAATGCTACTAAAGAGTACTTTCTTTTCAGTGGCTAAAATAATAAAAAATTATAAAATAAATTAGGGGGGGGATATTTTACTTCGTATAAGAGCTTTAACATTTCAATTTTTACATTATAATAAAATGTACACAAAATATTTTTTTCAAATACCAAAGCAGATGCATTACACTCTCTGCAGTTTATTTTAAATCTTAAAACATGTAAAATCTAAACAATCAAAGCCTGACTTTGATTGAAAAACAAAAGTACATAATCAATATACTTCTCATAACAAAACCAAATATATATTTATTTTCTAGAAATTGTCTCCACTCACACAATAACAAGACACACAAACCACTTATTCAACACATTCTCACATCCATTCATTCAATTTTAAAAAAAAATAAAATTAATAAATAAAAAAGCAAGCAACAATTTATTTCTAAAACAATATTTTGCATAAACATAAGCATTCTTTTATTTCACTGCAGTTGAAGATAATCATCCATTAAATTTGTGCACTGACTTCTTGCAGTAAAATGTCTTCTTCATGAACTCCATACTCACAGTATGGATTCTACTAAGTAAAGTATGGCATCCATACTTTGCTTTGGCATCCCATTTTGGCGATACCTCCAGCAAATAGCAGTTAACTCTAACTCCAGCCAATATAGTTAATAAGGAATATTATTGGCTCTCTAATAGTCTTATTTTGATTCTTGAAGTACACAGATCATTTCATTCGTGAATAGTAAATAAATATCGTAGTTACAGTGCACATCTTCATCACTTTTATTTATTATTTTTTTTTGCTTTACACATTCCAAGTTATCTTAAATCTAGAAGATTTAGGAAACTTTCATATGAATTCCATTTGATTGTTGCTTGCTTTTTAATAGTAGTTTGAAAGGAAAATTACTTTGATAATACATAGATTTTATACAAATTACATCATCACAGATAAATAGTCATAATTTAGAGAGATAAGAAATAAATGAAAATGCAGAACGGTTTCACACAATATTAGTTGAAAAGTTTTTTTTTAAATAGTTTACTTAAAGTAAACATTGAAGAAATACATAATTTTACTTTAGCACACACTGTCTGTAAGTGCCAAAAAATAACATACATTATAAATATAATTAATGACATAAATCTTATCAAACATGACATTGTTTAAAGCTCTTATATAACTTGAAAATACATTAATACTTCATTTCTTTACTTAAGTTCTTCTCTTTATATAAATTTTGCAACAATTAAATTCATTAAGAAATTGATAGAATTTTGAAGATAATTTTATTTATAGAACAAAAATTAAAAGCTTCCAGTTAATAGAATAATGTAACCAAGTCTTTCACTTAAAAAATTTTTAATGACATTTAGTCCTAATAGATGGGTACTTAATGGATACAATGACATTGATTTTTCTCACTCAAGAGAAAGAAATATTATAAAAGTTAATTTCCTTTTTAACGTAAAACATTAATTGCAATAGTATTTAAACAAGATTTAAATTTATATTCACAAAGAAATGGCATCCAAAAATAATTTTATTTAAATTAAATAATAATTATGCCACTTTGTCACAAAATTTTTTTTCATAATTTTAGTATAATATATTGAATGTGTTTAAAACAATCATTAAAAACCCATCTATTCAATAGGAAAAAAAAACATTTTTAATCTTTAAACTTAAAAAACTAACTTAATATTTCATTTAATTAAAAAAAAAAAAAAAAAAAAAATAAAANAAAAAAAAAAAAAAAAAAAAAAAAAAAAACTAGTTAAAAATTAACAGCATAAAAATTGAAGAAAAAAAAAAATTATAATCTCCATAGAGGTACCTGGATTGCTGATCGGCATGATTAATCCTGAGATCAGGCATAACAATTCATTTTAGCTTTATTACCTATGAAAATGATTGCCTTATTAAATAGATATTTTAAAATTACTAAATCATTCTACTTATAAATGCAGTTTCAGTTTTTTTTTCCTTGGAAGTTTTTGGATATTTACACCATTAAACAAAAATATTATTAGCTTTTATTTAATAAAAGAACAATTTTGGCTTTTTTTATCTCACTGTTATGGCAAAGAATCAGGAGGTGAAGAGACATTTAAAAGAGTGGTAGCTCTAGAATTCTGGGTACCTTATGCTTATTTTTCTGGGGTTTTCTTCGCCATAAATAAATTTCCGCTAAAAGCTCTGATTCAGCAATTCGGGTACTTACTAAAAATCAATAGGGAGAAGAAGAAAAAAAAGGCCACACGAAAAGGAAGTACATCAGTAACCCATCAATTATTGGAAATATTAAACATTTTTATGAAACACTTTCACTACCTTTCATTTCAAGAAAATAATAAATAAATAAAAATGCAGGATAAGATAAAATTTTATAGTTTTTTTTTTTTTGAAAAAAGGTATTATATACAAATATCTAACAATGAAATGATTTTAGCTTAATGTGGTTTTGCTTTCAGCATACGAATAAAAACTAGCACTTGCATATTTACTAAGATTTTATACAAATGAACTGAGTGCCGTATTTACAAAATGTTATGTCAATGTTCAGTCACACACACAACAGTTATTTCTATAGTTGCTCTGTTTTAATAAAAGCTTCAGGTGGAATTTTTCCTTCACTCTGAAATAATAATAAATAAAAAAATCACATAACAGTTATAATTAAAACTTGTTTTTAACACTTACCAGAAACCTTTTAAGGAGCAGAAAGTTTTTATCAAAAAATTTAGTTAAGAGAATTGTGGTTACCACATGCTCATGCACAACCACAATGAAGCAATTTGTTTATCGCATACCTGCCAACATTGGAGAGATAAAATATCAGAGATTTTACTAGCGACACTATTTAGGCTACGAGTAAAGTTTTGATACATCATGCATAATCATGTAAGTCAAAAATAGAAATTTAAAATTGAATATAAGCCCTTACATTAAGTGTGAAGTAAAAAATATGTATAGAAATCTTAATCTAAAGATTTTTTTAAATCATTATTTATAATAAATTTTACCTAATTTTGAGTTTACAACTACTAATGTTCAACTTTGTACCCTTGCAATTTTGAATATTCCTTATTATAACTTTATCACTGATGTTTATCAGAAATAAAGTGTTAGATTCATCAAACTATAAACTAGAATTAAAAAAGTAGGATCTGTAATATGATTTTTTATTATACTATTTGGCAAAATCCAGAATTTCATCATATACACTAACACCTTTATTAACTTACACACCGTTAATGAAGCCAGACATTTGTTAATCATGAAATATCAATGCATTATAAACAAATTTGTAAAACTGTATCAATTTATCCCTTTCAAAAAACAAAAAAAAAATTCAGGTTGTATACTATTAATTTTTATTACCTCCCATTATATTTACATATTGAGGTTCTTTAGAAATACTTTAAATTAGGCCAAAAAGAAAAAAATTAAGAATAAGCTAAGAATTACTCAAGAGTATTTTAATAAATATACCATGAAGCTACAAATTTAGATCCAAGAACTTTATATGCGTTGGAATAAATAACTTAAGCAGTATCATAATACGGATCCCTATCTATAAAGGATTGAACAAAAAATTTTATAAACATTTATGACTTTAAATTTCAGAAATTTTTACGTTTGGATTTCTCAAAGTTCGAAATATCTACTTATAGATCAAGATTTTTAGTACTCCCTCTCTCTTTCAAAAATTAGAACATTTTTGCAGAATTTCTTAAAGACAAAATTATCTTCAAAAAAAAAAAAAAAAAAATTTTCCACAAACTTTGTTTTAAAGCAATAAAAAGACTTACCTGGAATTTCATAAACACAGCCACCGCTCTTTGATAATCCCAATCATGTTCTTCTAAACATCTAAAATTATAAGGACAAGAGTAAAAAAAATATCAGTTTTGATCAGACAAAATTTTATTATAAAAAATTCTTAACAAATTAAACTGAAAATTTTATCCTGTGGCCAGGGTTTCCGCTACGGTAGCTTTTTTCGCAAAATGCGAAAAGACCCCTCAAAAATGATAAAATTCAACAAAGCATTTTCGCATTTTTGGTAAAGGATTTTACTAAATTCCATTTAAAAAAAACTTCAGCGAAAAACCATGACGCTAACATCTATGAAAAAAACTTGATCAAATTTGACTTTCTTTTCAGTGGCTANGTTTTAAAGCAATAAAAAGACTTACCTGGAATTTCATAAACACAGCCACCGCTCTTTGATAATCCCAATCATGTTCTTCTAAACATCTAAAATTATAAGTACAAGAAAAAAAAAATATCAGTTTTGATCAGAAAAAATTTCTTTATGAAAAATTCTTAACAAATTAAACTGAAAGTTTTATCCTGTGGCAAACTGACAAGTAACTCTCTCTAAGTAAGTGGTAAAAAGTGGAACAACCTCATGGAGTAATGTAAGATATGTAGATAAGTATAAGCCAAGAAAAAAAATCTTATCGATAAAAACCCACACAAATTTTGAACTATTTGACCTAATCAAGTCATCTGTTTTGACCATTTCTATATAAAAAATATATAGAAAACAATACTTCACTTGTCTAGACAGCAATGAAAGAAGTGTACATGGTAATAGTCGGATTTAGTATTTTTTTTTTAACAATATCATAATTTTCTATAATTACAAAATCAAAATTTAATATCCTCTTTAACTTAGATAACAATATTAAAGTTTCTCTGTTTGAATTAGGTCTAGCACTCATTACTACATATTAATAGGAGGAAGGTTTATGGTATCTTGTTGGAAAAAAAAAAAGTTTTTTTTTGGAGGCCTGGGTTTTGACAACTGTTTAGCTTCATTTACTACACCATGTCAATAGTTATTAAATAATTAATACTACTAGCAAATACAAATTGACTCATTGAACTGGCATTCATAGCTCTTGTTTTATTTTCAATAATAAAAGAGTGTTGCAGCTTTTTTATTTTCCTTGACAACAGTGTTGAAAAACACACTCAAGCTAAAGAAAATCACATTAAAGCTTGCAAGATGACTTATCAAATGTAGTCAAAGATAGATTTAAAAAAATATATATATATATATAACTTTCATACTTTGTTGAGAAATCTAAGTTCATCCCTGTTTGTTTAGTAAGCTCCAATACCATCATCTGCTTTTCTACAGGATTTTTCTCCTCAGTAGATGGAGCAGGACTGGGAGATGGGGTGGGAGCTGGAACTTTGAAAGCCTGTGAATATATCAATGCCATTAGAGAAAACAGTTTACTTAGCAAATTAACAACCAATTTGTAAAATAATTTGTACCTTTTCTTGCTGGTCTTGGTTTGCAGGAGCAATGTATAGTGTTTCATTGATTATAGCAATGCTAAAAAATATAACAAGACATTTAAGACACTAATGAAAAGATATCAATTTTAAACACAGCACAACATTTTAATCTCAGAACAAATTTTTTTTTTCCTTTGCTTTTGCGAAATAAAATGAAGTTTTGTACTAATGTCTAACAAATCTGTCATGCCTGTTAAATACTTTTTCTGAACAATTAGTAACATCACATACTGAATGACTGAAATGAAGCCACTTTGATTCATTCAATATCAAACTCAATTCTTTTAAAAACAAGTAAAATAAACAAATATACAAAATCAACAACATTTCAAAACTCAAATCTACGATGTCCAAACAAAAATCATGTCACCGCTATTTAAAACAAGTTAATTCTATCTTATAACATTCATATATTTTAAAAATTAAACTTTATTTTTAATAAAAGATAATATAATGAAGTATAAAGCTTTCCCTTTAGAAGTTATCAAATTTTATTGTTCTAATGCTATGCCTAAAAGTATGATATTTTAAAATATCCTATAGTGCGCCTTCGGACAGATGGAGGTGGCCCACCTTGGGACATAAATATGCATAATTAATCTTTGTTAAATTAAAAATAGATTTTTAACAAAAAGATATGGTGCATGCAAAGTATTTTTAAATTTAAATAATCTGTGTTTATTAATAGTTATTATTTCTTATTTTAGGAACTCATTAGACTTAACTAATGAAAAGAATTAGAAGCAAAAAGTATAAAAATAAAGCAGCAGTTCGTGCTAACAATGTTGAAAAAGCTGCTGCAAATTTTATCAGGGGAAATGACTTATAAGAAAGCTGCTGAATTCTACAGTATTAGTAAGACCACTCTGAGCAGCCATTTTATTTCCTTTAAAAAAAATAGATCAGCCAAATTCTAACTTTAAATACATTTTAAATATGTAGAGTCGCAAAATACTCACAGATGAGGACGAAACAAATTATGGTACAATATATGTTACAAGCCTCGAAGGTACCATTAAGGATTAACAATATGTGATGCAAGTGCACTTACATATGAGTGTGCTTCGCCAAACCAAATGAACATTCCTCTAAACTAGGAGAATGGAAAAAAAAGTTCTTGGAAGATGAGGATTTAATGCTCTCAGAATTAATGAGAAATACACCCAGAAGAAAACTGGTAATTAGTGATTTATGCAATGAACAGTGAAAGTGACAACAAAATATTAACGATAAGAAAAAAGTTCATCTAAAAAAAATTAGTGAAACAAGATTACATATTATTTTGCACACATCAAATTTGCTAGTATAAGACCTGTCGTTGTCTTTGTAGGTTGCGTTGAAAGAGTTGATGAAGATGAGTATCAGTTTTGAGAAGAGTGAATCAATCTGCAACATTTATTTATCCCAAAAAAGAAGACAAATTATACAAAGATTCATATGACATTTTGTTAAAACTTAAGCAGAGTAAAGCTTTGAATGCTCTTTAGGTTTGATATTTGATTCTGAACAATTGGATTTGCATACAAGAAGTTGAAACTAACAAAATAAAACTTTATAAACAAAATAAAAAAAATTTAAATTATCTAGTTATACTATTTTTAGAAAATTTCTACTGAACTTTTTGCATCTTTTTAACTGTCCCAAGGTGCCCCACTAGGAGGTACACCTTGGGACAAGGTAACTAAATTTTTTGCTTGACAGATACAAAATCAAAACCCAGTTAAAAATGTTTTCAAACGTTACAAGAATACTAGGTAAAATTAACTATAATTGAAAAAAAAAATGTCCCAGGGTGAGCCACTCTCCCCTATATATTAGCATGATAGATGTAAAATTCGATAAAAAAAATTAAAAAAATTTCCCATAGATAAAATTAACGATAAACACAGTTTAAACCAGATTCGAAGGATTTACACAATATTTTGAGTGTAAGAATAAATTAAAATACATTTTTAATTTTAGAAAAGAATGTTTACTTACAGAAATTAAAAATGTAAAATAATAAAGAAACAAAATACACACCTACTACTATGTGGCACAACAATGAATGTTCTGTTGAAGGTTTTTAATACAGCATTGTTGATGTCTGCTCCAACTAAAACAGAAAATAAAATCATTGGAAAATAAAAGAGGAAACTGATATAAACAAAGAATACCAAAATGATCATTGAACACCATTACAAAATGTATGGCTATGTCTTTGTAGATTATAGATTAATTTTACCTACTAGTAAGTTTACGTATCCCTACACTAATTTATCAGTTTTTCACAAGTTTGTTTGCAATACGAGAATCAAAATTTTATAAAAAAAAATATGGCGTGCAATTTGTAACACCTTTTTCTAAATTAGTTATTCAAATCACAACGCCTAACTTATGACACTAGTTTATTTGTAATCAGAATATAAAAAAAGAAAATTGCAGCAATATGAAAAGTGACATATGGTTAGCAAAAAATGTAAACATAAATTTCACATTATAGGCAAATTAAGACAATGAATTATGAATTTATATTAATATGGATGTAAATAGCGTTAAGCGATTAATAAATTTATAAGTTTAACAATTATGGAATTAAAACTTTCAGTAAACAAGAAAAATTTTAAACTCTGCCAATCAGCTAATAATCAAGGAGGATAAGCTGCATCATTCTGTAGAAAATTTGTTTTAGGGCACACACAGCACTTTTTGGTACCTCTTGTCTTAAGGCCACTGTAATATAGTTTTCCTAGTATATTTTCCTGGATAAGGTAAGAGCTTTTTGAATATTTCCAACCGATATTTATAAATTTTGACAATGTACAATAATTTTATAATATTTGTTTTGACAATTTTGAAACAAAAGGAAAACAAATAATGAATTTAAAGTAAAACAAATAATGTGAATGAAGCATACCTTCTTTGAAGACTCCAGTTACAGCAAAACTCATTAAGGAAGGCTGAAAAATATGTTTCTATAAATATTGCTGTTTGAAAAATGAATATGGATATACATATATTTCAGTATAACATACAACTATATATGCACGAAAAAAAGAAGAAAAAAACTGCAAAAATAAAAAAAACACAAATATTTTTAAAATTTGAAAAAATATATACATTCTAAATATTACATCTTAATTGCTTTGTCTCTAAAATTTATAAGACAAGTTAATATCATTGATCCTCACACAAAGAAAAAATAATGATAACCAATTGATATAAAAACTGCATTATCTGTACGCTAGAGAGAAGGAAAAAATTTCTGACCTTACGATATACAATTCCTTAAGCAAAGCCTGCTTATTGATGTGGTTAAAAATATAAGAATGATAAAATAATTTACAAGAAAATGTGCTTAATTAAGTAAAAAACAAGTTTGAAATATCTTACTGATAAATGAAAAATGTCCACACTGAATGAAGTTGGGTCATGCATGGTTTGCGGCATCTCAGACAAAGTGGATACAATACTCAATTTACCTTGTTTAAGTAACTTGAATCTTTGCTCTAAAAGAAAAAGTTACGAGCAATGTAAAAAATTTTTATTTAGGAAGTATATATATAAAATTAACATTGATAACATAATATTTATCCCTCCCACGATTTTACTTTTAATTATTTTAATTTTCCATTAGTAGGCAGACTCAAATAACTTAGTAGCCACTTTTTCTTCAAACCTAAAGATTCAGAGATCGATAGATTCAACATTTTCATTTAATAGCTGCATTTTGCATGGATTAAATTATATTAGAAATTATCCACAGCTATAAAAAGTTAATTCAACAATAAAAGATTGTGTTAAAATAAGAATATCTAGAAAGGCCAAATTCATTTAATGTATTCATATAACTTGGAAATTTTGGAATTGTTGAAGCATTCTCCGTCCAAATGAATCTTTCCACCACAAATTAATGGATTCAGAAGGATCAAAGTATAGAATGGAGACATTGAACATTTTATTATAAATTCTGCTTTCTAGAATCTTTTGGCATAGATGTACTTTTATCATTTAACGATCTTGAAAAAAAAAAAAAATCAAAATGATGGAAAAAGAGACTGGTTGCTCATTTAATTTAAGTCACCACTTTTTTTGGTGACTCTTTCAGTAAGTAAACTTAAAATCCCTAAGTATGGGGCTAAGTTATTATTCTTGTTATGAAATTGGAAAACTTTCTCTTGAATAGCAAATAGTTTAAACTAGATAAGAGGGATTAGGACCCAATAACTAAGGGCTAATATTTTTCAGAAAAAACATGTTTAGATACAATAGGAACTTATATTAATTGTCTTATAAATCTAATTGTCTGAACACATTTATTTTGGTTCAACTCATGGTTGTACCCAGTAAACAAAATACATTTAATTTAAACACAGATAGAAAGGGTGAATGAAACATTTATCCATAAGTCCTTCATATTTTGGCAAATAAAAGCAGNACTGCTTTAAGCTAAATATTCCGCAGGATGTGCCCACTTAAAGCTTGGGGGGGGGATTTAGAATTTGCCCAAGAGCTTGGGGGGGATGGGGGCCACTGAATAAAAGTATTTATAGTAGTGCAGTGATGAACTTTTCAAATAATTTCTCATATAAACTTTACTTACCTGTTTCAGTAACTTTAAGTAAATTTCTATTGTCATGATAGTACGCAGATAAGCAGCCACCACTATTTCTGCATTAAAAAAAAATAAAGAAATTAATAAAAACAATTGTTGAACATTAATTAAGAAATAAATATAAGGATCAAGTAATGACTTACTTATGTGAATGTCTTGCTAAACTAAGTGAAAAGTTAGCCTAAAAATAATCAGGAAAAAAAAAATTAGCAAATTTTTAAATTTTAATAAACTTATAGCAAGTTTGAAAAAATTTGATAATTTAAAACCTTCATTGTTATTCTGATAAGTCTAAAGTTATAAACATAGCCAAATTTTTAAATAAAAAATAAGCAGTTTAAAATATATAATTATGCACACTAATAAATTTTTTTCCTTTTCCTATTGTTGAAAGTTCTTCATAAATACATTAGTAAAATGCAAAATAATTTCTAAAGACTTACATGATTGTGATAAAATAACTAGTTTCTGACAAAGAACTCTTTTCCTCATTTTATTAGTCACCATTATTAGTTTATTAGTCACACAATTTTAAAGACATTTAATATTAAGTGGCTCATTCTATTTTTCTATTATTTATTTAATAATTACTTTATTTAATTATGCATATTTAATTAAAATAATTAATTTAATTATTATTTAGAAAGGCAATAAATTTTATTTTTTAGATTTAAATAAAATTTTTTTTAAATAAAAGTATATTCAGCAAAACATTATCAAGATTNGAATGTAAGTTTTGAATATATTCCCTTCCAGTTTCTCTGATGTTGTAACACTTACATATACTAATAGTCATTGTTAGAAAAACAGTCACCTTTATAGTAACATGAATATGAAACTAGATATACGATTTTGAAAATGAGAAAATACAAACTGGGATATTGAATTTTTAAAACGCATAAATACAAATCATGATTCATAATTTTTAGATCGCATAAATACGAATCATGATGCGTAATCTTTAGATTGCATAAATAATTTTGCATAATTTTGGAAATATGATGCATAATTTTCAGAATGCGTGAATGCGAATCCCAATGCCTTATTTTAAAATCACGTATAAATACGAAAATCAATGTTTCATATTATAAACCGCATGAGCAAATCAAGACATTGAATTTTAAACTTGCGTGAATACATAGGTTTTTAAAAAGGCGTAAATACGAATCACAATATCGGATTTTCAAATCTCGCAAATAAGAATCGCAACGTACAATATTCAAATCGCGTGAATAAGAATCGCAGCAGGCAAGTATGAAAAGCTATGTTTGATATTAAAATCATGCGAATAAGAATCGAGATATTAGCAGATTCCAGGCTTGGGACCTCTAAAAGGCTTGTCAGAAGCAGCGTCGTTTGAACTACAAAAATCGGATCTATTTGGAGGGCGGGTAAAAAATTCGGAAAATCTTATCTGCTGCATGTAACAGGGGAGGAAATAGCTAAAATAAGTAAAAATGAGAAAGGATTGGTAGCTATGTAGTGTGAATTTTCCGTTTCTCTTTGAAAATTGGTGAATTTTCTGAAAAAGCGGAATACTTATAAAAAAAAGTGAAATTTTTAGAAAATCTGAAGTTTTGATTTAAAAAAAGCTGAAATTCAAGAGATAAAAGCGAAAAAAGCGGAAATCCGCTAAAAAGCGGAAAAATCTCATCCCTGTATATATGTGTGTGTGTGTATGTGTGTAAAATAATTTTTAAAGACTTTACATGATCATGATAAAATAGCTAGTTTCTGACTAGTTTCTGTTCTGATTCAATAGCTAGTTTCAAAAACTCTTTTCTTGATTATATTAGCCACCATAAATAAAATTATTATACACTATTTTAAATATATCATATACTGAATGGCTCATTCTATTCCTTAAATTAATAATTACTTCCCTTACTTTACTATAAATAATTATGTAAAAAAAAATTCAATTCAAAATAAGAATTAATTTAACTATTACTTAAAGGTTATTGAGTATATTTTTTAGATTTAAATAAAAGTTATTTATGAAAGGTTATCCAACAAAACATTAAGAAGATTAATATTATTGACCATACCAAATTTATAAAGACATGTAAAGAATTAAGTAAGCTAAGAAAACATTAATAAGTTCATATTAAAAATGTAAATTAGTGAACAGCCACAAAATTTTTTTCAATAAAATTGTAAATTTTTTTTCTTCTTCATAATTTTAATACGTTAATACAATGAGTAATGAAGCTAAACATTTTTTGTCAGAAGTAAATTATTAGATGGTCTATAAAATCCTATTTCACAAAATCTGATATTTTCTTTCTATATTAAGGAAAGAAATTGGCAACGTTCAGTTGGCCAGCTAATCGGCAAAAATTCTGCAAAATAATTGGCACTTTCATACCATAGGGACCAATGGTATGCCCAAATGGTGGTTGAATAAATTGAGAAAAACGTTGAATAAAACAATGTGAAAACCCGCCTTCTGTATAATATGAGATAAAAATAGACAGGGTAAAAAGAAAATGAACATGGAAAAGAGAAAATGATCTTTCAAAAAATACCCAATAAAAAAAGCACCTTTAAAAAACGCACACAACTAGTATAAGACAACTGCAAATTTAATAATTCATAATTTAGTAAGATTATATTGTAAATGTTGGTATGCATTAAACACACACTTTAACAAATATATAACACAACCCTTTTTTTTTAAAACTCATTATTTTTATTTCCCATTTCAGATTATTTTTTTTGTTGACATTTTGTTAAATGTTCAAAAATTTTTATGAGTTTTTCAAATAAAAGCATAGTTTTTCAGATAGGATATTTACACTAGAAACATTTTCACACATGATTTTACAACACAAAAATATCAACATACAGAATATTATTGCAAAATTGTTAGTTATGGACGAGAGAAAATAAAGACCAGAAAATTAAAAAAGAGAGAATATAAGAAAAGCTTGTTAGAAATTTCTTTCAACGCATAAAAATATTACAAACCTGATCATGATAAGCATCAAGAAGCCTGGATCTATCACCGGAGTCATAAATGGTATAATACCTGTAGTTGAAAAGTTAAAAAAAAATTATTTAAAAAAAAAATGACTAAGTAAAGATATATTTTTCACTCAGATATTTTAATCATTGAGTATACATACTGGTCCAAAAATTGTATCACCAAGTCTTTGTGAGTAGAATTTCCACTTTCTGCAAAGAAACATTTCTGGAAGGAAAGGGAAAAACAAATATAAGTCTTAAAAAGAAAAAAAGAGTCTAGCAAATTAAAAATTCCTTTATTAACCAGAACAATTCTAAGAAATGCACACAAGTACATCAGTTAACAAATTAGTGGGTTTATTGATGGTGGACAAAAAAACAATAAAATTTAAAAAGCAAGAAAAATAAATTATATGCATCAATTTTTAAAAAAAAAATCAGTCATATATGATAGTGCAATACAATACCAGGATACATCCGTATATTAATACACCTACAAATCAAACAGCTATGTTTAAATGTTCCTGAAATTTGAAAGTATTCAAAACCAAAGGCTATATCAAGAAACATCTATAAACCTTGTATAAATTAACAACTTTAAACAGGGTGCGTAGCCAGATTTTCAACAAAAAATAAGCACTTTTTGAGCACTCAAACAATACTTTTAATCACTTTCCAAAAAAAAAAGTGTAGTAGTGATGAAAGTTATTTTTTCTATTGTTTAAAGTTCTTAATTTAAGAACATAAAATCAATATAATTCAAAATTTTTTTTATGAACTTCCTATAATCGTCATAAAATAACTCGTTTCTGATAAATATTGCAGAGAAATGCATTTTTCATAATTTAGAACGACACAGCAAAAAAAAAAAAAACTAAAGATCAAGCACTTTTTACAAACCCCGAGTGAAAATAAAAACATATTTAAGGGATTTTAAAAAACTTAAATAAAAAAATAAGCACTTTTTGAAAACTCTATGCACCCTGTTGAACTTTGGTTTGAAAAATACAATAAAAAGGCCACTAATATGAACATTTTTCTCTTCTTTGATGTTCTAATTAGATAAGACTTTTTGATGTAGTAATTAGAAAACATCCTGTTTATCACGAAAATAATTTAATTTGTTAATACATACCTTTGATTCCGGACACGTTTCTACACCAAGATCGAAGCCAATTGGAGGAGGTAGTTGATGTCCATCCTTTTTAAAAAAACAAAAGAGTATACAACACAAAAAAGATTAACACAGCTGAAATATAAATTGTAACTAAGTTTCAACTTACCAAACTTAACAATCTAGGGAAACGTTCTCGAGCTGCACTGTAAACAAAATTACAATTATAATGATAGTGATGCACAAATCTCAAGAGTCATATATCAAGTATTTGAAATTGGACCAGATATATAAATTAAAAGCAAAACTGTGATTAAGATTTTATCATGCTTTAAAAATTTAAAAAGCAATTTAGGTAAATAGTTAAAAGAATAAAAGGAAAAAAAGTGTCTGAATAAAGGATAGCTTGTTCACAAATCACTGGTCCACCACACAGACAGCCAAACTTTCCATCGAGCAATTATTCATGTTCTGAAAGTAGACTATAATCGGTAAAAAAATTAAACGCATCTCAATGGAAGAAAGTAATTCAATAAAAAGGTTTTAGCCTTGTAAATTACCACAACATAATTTTTTTGGTTTACTAACTTTAAGTGTAACCAAATTTATCTAATTCTGTTTTTTTAATTTCGTCATTATTCAAAAGATGCTTGGCTACATAATCTATTAAAAACTGTAAACAAAACACATGAACATGGGTGCCACCCAAAAAAATTTCCACTTATTTTTTTGATTAATTAACATGGTCTAGCATTGTTTACCAGAATCTCCAAAAAATTATAGCTGAATGCAAAATGCACCTTTCCAGCTAAAAAGATAAACAATATTTTTTTCTATTTTATTACTTCATTATTTTTTTTTTTTACAACTAACAAAACAAAAATAAATTGCAGCTAACCTTGTTTATCTTTTCACACTAATCACCGATATAAACCACTTATCTTTTTCTGAAAGCCACTCATTTCTCTATTTTCCCTTTCACCATTATATTTTTTCCCCTAACTCTATAAATTTCTTTTCTTTTTTAAAAAATAATAATCGTAATTTAACATAAGACTAGCATTTCAAAACATCAGGGAAAAGTGTAAACTAAATCAGATTTATATTGAAAAATAGTACAAATTTTGTTCACACAAGCACATGTTTAAGTTCAATCCTATTCTTTTATTGCAATGTGACATTATTTGATCATATGCAATAAATAGCATTTTCATTAAAATTTATTTTAATTTTAAAAGAGAATCTCACATTTTTAAAGAAATTAAAAAAAAAAAAACAATTGAAAAAACAATTGAGAAAGAGATATTAATCGATGGGATTTAGTCCACTGATTTTTTTCTTCTTCTCAAGACTCGGGACTGAAGAGTGGCACCCAGGCACATGAATATAAATCAATAAGTGCTACTTAAAAAAAAAAACTATTTTAGAAATAAAAAAAAAGGTTCATTTTAAGGCAGATTTTCAAAAGGAGTATTACAATAACATACAACAATGTCCATTTTAGACTTTAAATTAATCATATACCTGAAATGTCATATATTTATTATTTGATTTATTATTGTTTTTTTTTATAATATAGAAATAATAGTCTTAAAAAAATTTGTATCGAAACAAAACTTTGCTTTAAAATTTTTTTATTTTATCCTAAACTTAGAAGAGACTTACATTACAAACTTACATTATATAAATTAAGTATTTAATTATCTTTAAAAAAAAATTTCCAAGAATAAACAAAGACCAAATTACTAATTCTGAAAAAAATATAATGTATCTGTCGCAAAAGTTTGGCAATCACTAATTTTTAAAATATTCCATAGGATATGATTCTATACTCAATTGATCAATGTATTTCAATATCAGAAATTATTTGCCTGCCTAACAATGTAACGGAAGACAAAAAATACATAAGACTGAAGACAATTTAAGATTACCTGATATAAGAATTTTTACTCTTAAATTCATCACACAAAGGATTACCATCTAACACCAATTCAATTATCTCCATTCCTTTTATGGAATTTAAGTCATCTGCATTCTTAATCTAAATAGTATAAAAAGTTTTTTTTTACATAGATATATTTACATATATATCAATACATAACTTAGGAAAAAGTTTGAAATACTATGTATTATTTTTAACAAAACAGGACCTCAATTCAATGTAACTGCCTGGCAAATTTTAAAAGTAATGTAAGTGTAAACAGTGTGTATTTTAACAAAAAGCAAAAAAAAAAAAAAAAANAAAAAACATATTGTAAAAATTAAAATAATTTCATAATTATATGAAAGAAAAGAACCAAATTTTAAACTCTTTCCCATCTAAGATGAAAACTTAAGGCGTGAGACAATTAGCACATTAATCTTAGCTAGCTGAAATAATAATAAAGCTATATTTCATAAAAATGTACTAAAAGAGGATTAAAAATGACCTTGAATTTATTTTCATTGAAGGGAAATAAATTTTTTTTTTTTTTTTTTTTTTGGTGATTGATCTAAGAATNTGAATGTTACCTCAAAACCAAAAAAAAAAAAAAAAAATCCAAAAAAAGTCTGCTGTAATCTTTTGAAAACCCCTCTCTTTGAACAATGGATAGTAATGATTATTACACTCATTTAGTCAAACACTAAATAAATATCAGTTACATATGCAGACTTATGGACTAAAGAATTATCATAAGTTCATGAATCTATTCAATGGTTTGAATAGGTTCATGAACTTATTCCTGTTAATTATCGCAAAGATCAGTTTTTAATCAATGTTTCTCAAGACCTTGCTTCAGGGCAGGAGAAACAAAGAACCTCTTAATATTTCTCTTTATTGTTCATATTTTTTTTTTTTAACAAATCGTACACAAGAGATGTTTTTAAACTATTCAGATGAAACTTCCAACAACAAGAATTCTTTTTTTTGTTGAAGTTATACTTCTTATGAGACTTCCAACAAGGTTGCGCTAAGCGTTTAAAGCTGTATTTTTATTGGCCGGGAAATCATGTGGTTGGATCTTGTTTTCCCTTATTCATTCCCATTTTGTTTTGGTTCTCACTGGCATAAAAATAATAAAAGTCATAAAAGTAATGTTTTTCTATAAATATTTCTTTAGTTTGTTTTGATACACATATAATTTAATAGGGTAGTATTTTTTATTTTCAAATTTAGTGGATAACAATTGTAAAAAATGAGTGAAAACAATCCCACGGACAACGCAAGGTATTTAAGGTTATGTCAAGGTACGTCTCTTGTGAATATCAATTGATTGTTAGGTTTTCTCTTTTGAAATTATATTATGACGCATTCACATACATTATTAATACAAATACATTTTCCAGGGCGAGACGATGAGGAAACCACAAGCACTTCCACAGGTTCAAGAGGTCCACAAGGGAAAAATGCACAATGTTACCGTGATTACAGAGCACAGAACCGAGTGGAGAAGGAAAAAGAGTCGTTGAATAGAACTAGTGATCATTCTACGACTGCTGATTCTTCTACAATTAACGCCGCAGGTTGCGAAGTTTAACTTCTTCCTCGCTGAGGGACTCCATGCACTATTTTTTTTTAAAAATAGTTTGTTAATCTAATCAAGTTTTACTGTTAGTAACAAGCATCATATAAATTTTTGTAAAACATGAAATTAACTATTCATTAAAATTTCTCATGTTAAGCATAAGGGGCAGTATCATTTTTCAAAGTTCTAATTTAAATAATTAAAAATATGAAATTAATTTCCACACACAAATTTTTTAAAGGCAATTGATATGGAAAAAAATTCCGATTCAATAAAGATGACGCAGATTTGAGTTTTTGGATTTTTCCAAGAACGTAAATCAGGCTTTATATATACACTGTAGAATAATATGCATAAAATAATAGGAATTAAATATTATGTACCTTGTTATTTTTTAGAATTAAGGATTTCAATTGTTTACAGGCAGGAACCAATGAACTCAAAGGATCTATTGTATATAACTTATTATCAGTTAAATTCAAAACCTCAATCTGAAAAAGAGAAAAATCATGAAAATTTAATATGCTAAAAATTATCTACTCATCTACTAAGAATATCACACCTTTAGAATAACTAATTCAAGAAAAAGCTTAATTCTTACTACCATTGTGATATTAGATTTTAAAATTTCATGAATATGAACCTCGATAATGGATTTTAAAAATGCGAAAATACAAATGGCAATGCTAAATTTTTAAAACAAGTAAATACGAATCACAATGCATAATTTTTAAATCTGGAGTATAGAAATCTCAACGTGGAAGTTCTTAAAGAAAGTATAAATAAGAAAATCGATATTTGATAATACAAGCATGAATAGCAACATTAGGTTTTTAAAAAACGTAAATATTATAGATAAACCAAATATCACAGTATAGGATTTTTAAACCCCAGAATAGGATTAACTACGAATAACTTTTAAATCTTGCGAATACAAAAAATCGACGTTTGATATTAAAATTGCATATTAGCAGATTCCAGAGCAGTTCCAAAGAATCAAAACGGCGGAAATCCTGGAAATGGCGCGAATTGGAGGAAGAATCAAGTATATGTGAACTTCTTGTTAACGGAAGTCAGTTTAAGTTTCAAAATCTCTTCGGATTATAAGTTTTCTGATTTGCGCACGTCTTTGAACTAATGATCTTGGGATCTGCCTAATTCTGTGATGTTCACGAAAAAGTAAAAAATCAAACTTCTAATTTTTAGACCTGGAAGAACGGTACGAAAAAATCTGAATTCCAGGCTACAATCACTCCTGCATAAGAAATAACAATTGATATTTTAAAGTTTCCTTTACATAAAGTTTCAAACAGACAAGATGAATATTTACAACAAAAAAAAAAATTAAACTTCAGAAATAAATTTTACATCCAAAAATAGTTAGCAGGGCTTTAAAAAATTTTTTTTTTTAACAATCTGCGTTTAATCATCTTGCAATACATTATTTTCTGCAATTGTTTTATTTTTTGAACACAAATCAAAAACATCATAAAACAAAATCTAAATATTCAACTTTCTTAGAATGAAAATATTTAAACTTTTCTCTTTTACAATTNAGCAATATTGTTGGACATTAAGGCTTTTTTTAATTTTTTGTTTGCTTCTTCAAGTAATGTATCAATAATTGTTGTGGAATCCTTGACTTCTTTCTTTGCAGTTTTTAATTTGTCTTCTAAAATGGAAATATCCATTTTAGACTTTTTAAGCATGCTCTTAGTTTCTCTTCTAGTTCAGCTTCTTTAAGCTCTTCTAGCTTTTTTTCTTTTTCAATTCTATCTTTTTCCTTCTTTAATTCTAGATAAAGATTATAGCTTTTGTAAGCAACACGTGCTAAACATAACAACTTTTCTGAGATTGGAACCATTTCAGGCTTATTATCATATGCTTTTAAAGCATCAGCTACAGTCAAATGTGCATTCAGCATTCTAGAAGACATAGACGCTCTCTCTTCTGATAATATTCTACCAGATTTGGAAAAAGCTCTTTCAACATCTGCGCTTCTATGAGCAAGTGTCAATACTGCTGTAATAATATTTTTAAGATTCATATATTTAACACTACCATTTAAGCCTTGAATTTCAAATATGTTACTCCAAAACTTTTCAATTGGTTTTTCTTCAATAACTTCTATCTGTAGAAGTTTCCATTCATCTATTACATCTCCCATCTTTGAAGGAAATGGTAGCAAGGATGCAATTTCTTGAATCTTTTTCAAACTGTTTGCTTTTTTAATATTACCAGGTTTAATACATGACAATATAGATAATAATTCATTCATAAGAGGTCCTTTTTTCAAAATATAACACCCAACAGTAACAAAATTTTTTTGAACATTCAGCATGAAATTTCTTTTCTCTACATCACTGCACTGAATAAGACAGTCAAGTATGTTTTTTTCTAACACAATATCCTTTGAAGGCAACAAACTGTCTTGATCAAATATATCACCTAATACACACGTGCTTTTATTAAGATATGTCAAAGTTTCTGGTTTGCAAACTCTGCCAGCAATTTTAAACAGCAGTTTTTTTATGAAATCATAAGTTCTTGCACTAAAGGTCCTTCATTTTGAAAAAATCTAGTATATTTGGTCAGGATTGCAGAACTAGCACAGACAAAATTTAACTCTGCTTTAATAAGTGGCAGTTTTAAAAGAGAAACAATTTTTTTATAGCTTGCAGAATCTAACTTTCTTTCTCTGAGGGTATAAATTTCAAAAAGTAGTGGACAATTCCATCCCAAAGTTCCAAAATTCTAATAACGGCTGGTTCTAAAGTAAGCCATCTCGAAGTTGAATGTTTGATAAAGCAAAGGTCTTTCAGCTTTTTTTCAACCAAAACAGTTCGAAAATCTTCTTTTCTGGCAGGCCATCCATCAAAATAGTGAAACAATGCAATAGCTAAATCAGAAGAGTTACACCCAAAAACATTTTAACCTTTTATAAATGCATTATGTAGCATGTGTATGTTGCAAAATCCCATATTTAGCAACCCAACTCCTCTAATTGATTTTATTTCTTCATTCATTAGATTAAATATGGCTTTGTTAACATTAGGTCCATCACAGGAAAGCATAAACAAATTTGAAAAATTCAAACCTGCATCATCTATGGCAGATTTAAGATGCTTCATGACATTTTCTGCTTTTGCATGGCCTAAGAAAAATGTCTCTAAGTGATGAGAGAAAACTTTTTTATTTTTTTCAGACCAAAAACGAACTCTAGTATGCAGCTCTTTAAAATTAGCATTGTTTGTAGTTTCGTCGAACTGTAAAGTAAAAAAGGAATTTTTTATCTCACTCAAAAATTCATGTCTGAAATAAGGAGCTAACGCATCAGTGATAAGGTATGATGCTTTAGTTGGATTCAGTGAAAAGTGTTCCATAGTTGAGGAAGGTAACATACAATTAAACACTTTATCTACGTCTTTGCAGGTAGAAAGTGGGAAATTAGAAGAGATCATTTTCAAGCACCAAATTATTTCAGCTTTATAAGCTTGATCCTTATTGCTCAGCATACTTAATGATGAAGTATGACAAGATAATGAAAGCTGGTTGGAGTTTTTCTTAGCTGCAAAATCTGACTTATGTTTTTCCGATTCAGAATGCCTTTTAATAGCATAGAAACATTTATCAATATTTACAAGCATCATGTTACACACCACACAAATCAAATTATTTTCACGCTGGATGCCCCAATCAGAAACAATGTGTCCATTAGAATCCTTCATACCAAGCCATTGTTTTAAAAATTTGCATTTCCCCATGACTTGAAATATTTACGTTTTAAATATTCTAAACAATTTTAACTAGAAAATGGTTATATTCTTAAAACAAATTATTTCCTAAAAAACAAAACATTTTGCAGAAAACACAAAGTCAAAATTTTTGAAATTCAGCATGTGCTAGTTTTGGGGAAAACGCTATCTGTTGGTGTATCCTAAACTTTGAGCTCATTACTCAGCTAAAATGTGCACAGCTTACAGCTCCCATTGATTTGAAAATGATCGATCTTTTACATGACGTCATAGGTGAGCGATTTCATGAGAGACGGAACACGTGATTGTAGAACTACTACACCAGTAAAATATAAATTATTTCTGATTAAGGTGAATTTTTTTTTGTTGAAAGAAATGAGTAAAATGCGGTTCTATTCGATGACTGCGGACTTTTGCGGTGGTAATTTTTTTTTGAGGACTTTTGGGAAAATTGTGGACCATTTGGGAGGCCTGTATTCATTAAAATTTCTCATGTTAAGCATAAGGGACAATATCATTTTTCAAAGTTCTAATTTAAATAATTAAAAATATGAAATTAGTTTCCACACACAAATTTTTTAAAAGGCAATTGATATGGAAAAAAATTCAGATTCAATAAAATGGTACAGATTTGAGTTTTTGGATTTTTCCAAGAACGTAAATTAGGCTTTATATATACACTGTAGAATAATATGCATAAAATAATAGGATTTAAATATTATATACCTTGTTATTTTTTAGAATTAAGGATTTCAATTGTTTACAGGCAGGAACCAATGAACTCAAAGGATCTATTGTATATAACTTATTATCAGTTAAATTCAAAACCTCAATCTGAAAAAGATAAAAACCATGAAAATTTAATATGTTAAAAATAGATAAATTTATATACTTATATTTAACATAATCTTACGAATTAGCATTAATAATAAAATTATCTACTCATCTACTAAGAATATCACACCTTTAGAATAACTAATTCAAGAAAAAGCTTAATTCTTACTACTATTGTGATATTAGATTTTAAAATGCGAAAATACAAATGGCGGTGCTAAAATTTTAAAGCAAGTAAATACGAATCACGAAGCATAATTTTTAAATCTGAAGCATAGAAATCTCAACGCGAAGTTCTTAAAGTAAGTATAAATAAGAAAATAGATATTTGATAATACAAGCCCGAGCACAAATAACAACATTAGGCTTTTAAAAAACGTAAATATTATAGATAAACCAAATATCACAGTATAGGATTTTTAAACCCCAGAATAGGATTAACTACGAATAACTTTTAAATATTGCGAATACAAAAAATCGACGTTTGATATTAATATCGCATATAAGCAGATTCCAATGCAGTTCCAAAGAATCAAAATGGCGGAAATCCTTTAAGCCAAAATAATCGAATTGGCGGAAGAATCAAGTATATGTGAACTTCTTGTTAACGGAAGCCAGTTTAAGTTTCAAAATTTCGTCAGATTATAAGTTTTCAGATTTGCGCACGTCTTTGAACTAATGATCTTGGGATCTGCCTAATTCTGTGATATTTGCAGAAAAACCAAACTTTTAATTTTTAGATCTGGAAGAATGGTACAAAAGAGCCTGAATTCCAGACTACAATCACTCCTGCATAAGAAATAGCAATTGATATTTTAAAGTTTCCTTTACATGAAGTTTCAAACAGACAAGATGAATATTTACAAAAAAAAAAAAGAAAAAAAAATTAAACTTCAGAAATAAATTTTACATCCTAAAATAGTTAGCAGGGCTTTAAAAAAAGTTTTTTTTCTCTCTCTATTTTTGTTTTTAAACAATCAGCGTTCTATCATCTTGACATACAATATTTTCTGCAATTGTTTTATTTTTTGAACACAAATCAAAAACATCATAAAACAAAATCTAAATATTCAACTTTCTTAGAATGAAAATATTTAAACTTTTCTCTTTTACTCTTATACTTTTTCATAAATACTTAGTTTAAACTCATATTTTATGAAGGAAAACCTCACCACTGCTTTTAAATTATTTATAAGCTATCATAAAGACGAAGAAAAAATACTTATTACCATATACTAAAAATGACATATAAAAGGTCAAATACAAAAATGGTAAAATAATTTTTTTAGAAATTTATGTATATAATTCATTCAAATTTTTTTTTTTTACAAACCTTGAGACGCTCACTCTTTTAAGAATATTTGACAATTCCAAAATTCAATAAGATAACACAAAATCTAAGAGATTATTGTCATAATTACAAGAGGAAAATATGCAACTAACTTAATGATTCATACTTCAGTTATTTTACTAAATCCAATCAAAATAGATAAAGATAAATCAATTATGTCTCGGTTATTATACAAAATTAAAATCAAAATAGGTGATAATATGTAAAACAACAAAATATGTAAGAATATATAAATCATACTTCGGGTATTCTCTCTTTGATGATTCTCACTACTGCATGGAAAACATTAGGTTTGTTGAGAGGTGCATAGATTCCCGCTGAAAATAACCCTGCAAGAAATTTCAACTAACTGTACTTACTGAAATAAATACTGCTACAGCTTTAATTCTTAAATATACTATAGCTACAAACATTGAAAAATCAAATACAGGGAGAATTTAGCATGTAGCTACAACATAAAAGGGAAATACTGGGCATTAAAATTTTATACACACATGTATTTGCCATATAAACAAATTTTCTCAATTTAGAAAAGAGCTGAAACTTTACTCACCACAATAAAACATTTTAAAATTGTTGCTTCAAAACTGTATCCATAATACTAAGGCTTGATTTAATAAAAATGAGATTTCGGAGTGAAAATAAATTAGAACAGAAGAAGATTCTCTCTAAATTTATTAGTCTCCACAATTTTTCAAGAGAATTGTCAACTAAGACATACACAAGTAAATTTTTTGTAATTTTTTATAATTACATAAATCAAATATTAGGGTGCATAGCCAAATCTTTCAACAAAAAATAAGCACCATTCAAGTACTTTTTTAGCGCTACAAAATATTTTAAAGCACTACATACATTAACAAAAGGCAAAATAATTTTCTAAGACTTTGCGTGATCATGATAAAACAACTAGTATCTGACAAATAATTATTTTCTTGATTTTATTAGTCACCATAAAGAGATAGAGTGATTTTCGATTTTAGAGGGTGGAAAATGAAGCCTGCATTTGAGAATATATTGCGAAATGCAGAAGTTGCGCCTGAGAATGCAACAATTTCACCGAACCCAGCTCAGAATATGCACATACAGGGTATCTGCTACATATTAGATTTTCAAATTCATGACTTTTCATGATTTTCCATGACTTAATGAAGTTACTATTTTCTCCGACAAAAACGCAACAATGCATTTAAAAAAGCATTATAATAACATAATAAAAGGCATAACCAAAACTATACTCTGCATCTTCATATTTATAGATTTTAAATTTAAAAAACAGAGTAAAGAAAGAATTGAAACAATAAAATAGCTAGAAAAAAATGCAAAAGCAAATAATTTTTTTTCTGTAGAATTATATTCTAAAGATACTTTTCTTGTTCATCTGAAAGGAAAGAAATACTCCTAATTTTTCTGTTCTCATTTAGGAATTAAAAAAAATTTGCAATGACTGGTTTGCTTCAACTAGAATTTTAAATTGATAAAATTAAATAAAATAAATAATAAGAATTTTTAAATGACAGAAGAGTTTAAAAGATAATTCGATCTAGAAATTATGTTTTTTCTTTCATTTTTTGAAAGAACACCATAATTTTTAAAGAACATGATAAAATCATTTTATATTCTAATAAAATATGCCTGANGAAAGATTTTACTCACGTGAATCACGGTAAAGTCGAGTTAGGTCCAAAACATGTGTCATGGCATCATAATGAGAACTCATACACTCCTACAAAAAATTTTACACAATCAGCAAAAAGAAAATAAAAACTACTTACCAGTTTCAGAGAAAGAAATGGAAGGAAGAAGACAATTTATATATTTTTGAGACAAATGAAGTTTTTAATCAAGTTCAAGAAGGGAATGAAAATTTAATTAAGTGCTCATTTAAATATTTTGTTAAAGGTCAGTTCTTTAAAAAAAAAAAAAAGCTGATAAGGCCAATAACGTACATGATATATTTCATTATTTTTTGCATGTGTACAACCAGATTTAGACTCTGCAGTCTTGTAACCAATACTATGACAGTGGCATTATATCAATTTATGTAGACGAAGAAAAAAATATAAGGAATCATAAAATAATTAATGTAGTTGTTGACCAAAGTGCATGTAAAAATATAAAAATTATTAAGCTTATTAAAATTAATATACTTGTCTTAACGTTTACATGTTTATCTTTGATATTTAAGCATAATACTGAAAAGTTTAAATATATGCTATACAAAAATTGCAGGGAGTTATTGAGTTGAATTTTACTAAACATAAATGTCTGAATCTTGTACAGGGTGCTTAAAAAAAAAAAAAAAAGAGAGAGAGAGAGAGAGAGAGAGGGACCATTCTGAATAACTTTTGATCTAATGATCCTCATGTTTTAGGACTTAATGGTTCGAAAGAATGACTTTAAATACGCTAGCTAATTAGTGCACCCAATAATTTAAGTTACTAAATCAGACACAAAAACCTACTTTCTTTGAATAAACAAACTTTTTTTTCTTCTTTTCTTCTAACGAATTCAGATATCTGACCTCCAAAATGTAGGAGGTAGCCACAATCTGGGAAATATTGTTATCATAGTTTGGTCACGAGAATCCTCCCATGTTTTAACTTTCACTGTATTGTGATATTACTTTTACTGTATTTCGCTATATCCTGAGAACTTTTTCAGTGAATTGAAAAATTTTTGTACACAATTATAAAATTAATGTATCCAAAAATAATTCCATACAAAAAATAAATTTTAGTAAATATTTATTATTTTATTTAAAAATAGTGGAAAAATTTAGAATTATAAAATATGTAATATTTTACAAAATTTGAGCAAAATCGATTTAATAGTTCCTAAAAATTAGAATTTTAAATATCCAAATTCTTTAAAATTAGATTTCTCAGGAACTATTTGGTCAATTCTGTTCTAATTCTGCATGAAAACTTGCATACCATAACACTTTCACGAAGTTTTTATTTTTATAATAGAACAATTTTGGTAGCATAAACTATGAGTAGGGCACACTAGACTGCTAAAACTAAGATGTCATATTTTTTTAGGAAGATTTTAAACACTGATTTAGGACTGGGACATATATGTCCCATCAGTGCTGACAACTGGGACATATGTGTCCCAGTAGTCTTCAAGGAGTAATTTTGTATAGAAAACCAATGATCACTTAGGACTGTTGGGATAATGTGTTCCCACTGTCCAAGACGAGAGGGACACATTTGCTCGATAATAAAAACGGAAGTAAATGCCATTTATCAGTTTATTAGAGGTAATATGCTTCGTGAGCAACTTCTCTGTCCTTAGATTTATAGATCAATCAAAATTTAATCGAAAATAGGCGGTATTTTCCAAAACTAAACTAGTTATGTTCGTACAGTATGGAATGAGCTGCTACAACACTTCAAAAACCCAGGAATTGCATTATGTACAGTAGTGCCACCTACGTCCTGCGAATGAAAATACCTTCAAAAATTTTGGCAGGACTGGTGGGAAAGTCTCCCATTAGACAGAAAAGCGTTTCTGTCTCAAAAGAGTTTTTTGAAGTTTGCTTGGGACAAATGTGTCCCGTTAGTCGCGAAAGGGTTGAATGAATGTAAAAAATTGATTATGTTAAATTTAATTTTTTTTACTATTCTTGCAGAAAAGAATAAATATTTACTAAAACTTATTTCTTTGCATAAAATTATCTTTGGGTAAATGAATTTTATAATTGCTTGCAAAAATGTTTCAGTTTGCCCATTAAGTTCTTAAAATATGGCAAAATATGCAAAAAGTAAAATGAACATTAAAGGGTTCAAACTTTGGATCGCTCTCCTAACAAAACTATAGGGGCCACATTTTGCCGGTCAGAAATCCAATTCCATCAACAACAAAAAAAAAGGTCTGTTTACTCAGAGAAAGTATAATCTTGTGTCTGATTTTGTAAAATAAAGTATTGCCTGCCTGCCTTATTAACTAGCATATTTATGGTCAACTTCTCAAAACATTAACATTGATTTCTAGAACATATAGAAAGATCCAATCATTAGATCAAGAGTTATTTAGGATGGGTACACTGTACATAAAATAATTCTATGAATGAATATATATAATCATGAATGACATTACAATGTCTATTATCACTCAAGAACAGTTTAAAATATAATAAACACAAAAATATAAGATTTCAACATATTTTCTTACTTCAATGATCTTTAATGATTCTCGCTCAATGGTAGTAACTGGCTGTGGACATCTATTTACAGTGACAGCCATCTGTAAAATATAATTCATAAATTAAAATATCACTAAAATACATCAAGTGTTTTCAGAAGTTCATGAATGAATTTAAAAAGCATATAAAATAAATAACATGGTTCTAAGGATAACTTTAATTGATGTTTATTTAAATTAAATTTTAACAGCTGCTTGCTTACAGTTGTTACTAGTTTTAATATAGGCCTTTTTCCAGTTTTTTTGAAGGAAAAAAAAAGTTCTTTTTCTAATTATCTCTTACTGACTCGTGTGAATTCAGCTTAAATCCTACGAAAATTTGTCAAATTGTCTGTTATAATTTTTCCAGATGAATATTGCACATTTTATTGCTGTTTTACCTTGCATCAGCCGCCATGAGGGATATAAGGGAGGTTGACTAGCATGGCGTGATATCTGAATTTTCCAGCATGCCGGATAATTTAGAGCCACAAAGCCGGATAATTAAGCGGCAATAAAGTAAAATATAGACCTGATTCTATTTATTTTCATCCTCAAAGTAATAAATTTAATTTGAAGGGGTAAAATATTGAACTGTTTCCTTTTTTCAGTTAATCCTTTTATTAAGAGTTACCAAAAAATATTTCCCCCGTTCAAAATGTGCATGTCGTAATAACTTATTTAAGATATCAGGATATAAAAAACTTTAGGGAAATTTGGATCACTAGGATTTGCATCATTGAGTAATTTTGGAATAGTTTTTTTTTAATGAAAATTACATAAAAAGTTTTAAATTATATTTTATTATAATGCATGAATACTAAATTTAAATGTCACTAATAAATTTTGAATTACAAGTAGATACCAAATCTATTCTTTTTGCTCATCAACACTTTGAAATCCCATTAATGTAGATTGTGATATCTGATTTTCAAATTACGTGAAAATATCAACATTTGATTTTAAAATAGTGTGCATACCAATTGGAATATTTGGTTTTTAAATCATATGGATAGAAATCATCTAATTGTTTATAAAGGGTGAGAAATTGAACTGAGATAGTTGCTTTTTACATCACATGAAAACAAACTATGATGTTTAGTTTTAAAATTGTGTTAAAACGAATCAGGATATGCGGTGCTTATATCACGATATATCATTTGTATACAAAATTAGCCTGATGGAGAATTCGAAGATTGTGAAAATTACACATCCCAGAGCATGACCGGCGAATTTGCAGAGAATATGAAGCCTAAAAACTATAAAAATTTCACGCAGAAAGTTAAATGAAGATGAGAAAAAAATTAATATACCCATTAAGAAAATATCACATTTAAGTATTCAGGATAATAAGGTTACACCAGGGTTTCCGCTACGGTAGCTTTTTTCGCAAAATGCGAAAAGACCCCTCAAAAATGCTAAAATTCAACAAAGCATTTTCGCATTTTTGCCAAAGGATTTTACTAAATTCCATTAAAAAATAAAAACCTTCCGCGAAAAACCATGACGCTAACATCCATGAAAAAAACTTGATCAAACAAGAAGGAGAAAAAATCTAAATATCTTTCGCAAGAAGAACCATGACGCTAGCGTTCACGAAAAAAACGTNTTGTTGTGGGAACATGGAGGACTTTGAGACTCGACAGATTTAACGTGCATCAGTCACCATTTACTACACGGGGAGTCTTCGACCGGCGAGGATCGAACCCACGACCTCTTGGCTATGGGCCCAGCGCATTACCGACCAGGCTATCCCGGCCCATTAAGAAAATATCACATTTAAGTATTCAGGACAATAAGGTTACACAACTGAAACATTTCCGTATTGGGGATCTTAGCTAAAATAATTGCCAAGACTTGGCAACTTCTGAGCAGTAGCCCGTGAGAAACTAAAATGAAAAATCCTAAAAGAGGGCCAACTCCAAGGATACAACTCACTCTCGGGTCAACCTCTCACATGCTAATTGTTTTTTAAGTTTAAAATCTATTTAGCACCTTTGACGAATGTAATTGGTGCAACAGATCCCAATAAAGAATATCCCTAACATAACTTTAAGTACGAAGAAACATTGTGCATCATGCGAAAATTGGACCATTCTACAAAAAACACAATACTGGGTGAGAAGTTCTGCCAAGCAAAAGAGTGTAACGAAAAATTTGTTAAGCGGAGACTGCTCATATTGCTAAAACCCTAAGGGGAAAAATTAGCTCATAACACCCTCATAGTTAATTGTCTTTACACACATTTTCATAGGTAAAAGCATAAATAAACTTAATTTTTTTTCCCGCAAATTGGAAAAAACTGAAAAGCATAAAACTATAATACCAAAATATATAATGAAGTACTCGCTAAAATGTTAAAAAAGTTGTCCCTTTTTTGAAAATAGCTGCTTTCAGATGGTTCTTTACTAGAAAAAATTGCCGCTGCCACCCAAAGATAAAAAGTTGTAAGTAGTCACTAGCAGAAACCCTATGAATATGAATATTAATGGATAAAAAAGTTGAATATTCATATTTTAAACAGGGGTCAGCTTTTAGTAAAAAGGGACACAATACATACAAACCCGCAATTTCCTAGAAATCACTAAATGTATAATTCCTGCTACTACAATATATAATTTTTTGATTATGGTAAAGAAGATAAATAAGATTGAATATTGACCTTAAATCCATCAGGTGTTGTAACTCTGCGGTTAACTTCTCTTATTTGGTTGGCCAGTACACGTGAAGACACATAAAATTCAGCAACTGTGTTATTAAACTGAAACTAAAAAATACAAATATAAATGCATCTTATATTTAAGCAAACAATAATAGAAATAATGAGACAAGAAATATTTTTTACATTGATTGGTACAAATGGACTCTTGCAAAGAGAATTGATAGATTTCATGATGAACTCTTTCCCAATCTTCTTTCCGTATGGAATCTGCACAAAAATAAAATATTTTATTTCTCACTGAATCTAATAATATATTGAAATCTAGGATAAACTATCTATGGCTAGTGAGCCAAGTGGCCCAGAAATTATCATAAGAATCTTTTCACAATCATCTAAAAAAATACTGCTATTTTATGAAATCAATTGGACAGTTTCAACCTTTTATTTTCGTAGTTAATTCTGTCTTGTTGCAAATCTCAATTTGATTGCTACTGTGATCTGTAACAGATTAGTAGGGTGGAGCGGAAGAAAGAAGTTTTTGAAAATGAAAAAGCACAATCTCCCAACAGTTATATATGGATTAGTATATCACTAGAGAACTTTTTTGAAATTTTCATGCACCATCTTCATTCCCCACAAAAGGATTAAAATTTTGAAAAATATCAAATAAAAATAAATCAGCATTTAAAAGTTGTGTATCGAATGAAATATCACAATATAATTTTCAACAATATTTGTAATAATAATTTTCAACAATAACTGTAAAATATTACAAAAAAATTGTATTAAAAAATTTTTTTTTCTCTCTAAAGTTGTCAAAAGCAGGGTGACCACAGAAAAAAAGGAACAAAATAGTTGCTTTTAGTAGCCTAAAACATGAAAATAGTAGCAAAAAACTAGGAAAATAGTTACCTAAATAAGAACAAATATTCATCAAACATACGACTAAAATCAACTCAATTCGAAATTCACGCATCGTAATATCATATAAAAAAAAGTTGCATTTTAGTCATCTGTCGCAACCCTGCAGGGTTGCAACAAAAACAATCAAAACTTTTTTTCTCTCCACCCTACTGATTAGTTCTAATTAATAAATATATTATTCTAAACCAAAACTTGATTGTCTGAAAATCCAGATTTGCATTTATAATGTGCCATGAAATTCTTCAATCACTCTGCTTAGATTTGCTCCCTATTTAGTTTGTGGTAAAAATTTACTACTCAGCAATTTAAAGTAATCAATTGAAAACAAAATTCTGAAAAAAACCAAACACATTAACCTGATACGGTTTTAGCAACAAATCTTTTAACTTATTTTAAATTTTGTCTGGCAATACTACACCTATATTTGTTGAGATTTACTTAACATTTAATTCCTTTTTTAAATTCACGATCAGCATTTAAGCAAAAAAATTAGTTTAAGCCATTTTGATTACTTTTGAATAAAATCCTAGTACAACCAGCATTTTTTAATTACAACCTCAAATATGAAATTTCTAGTTTTTGTTGTTTGCAATTCAAGAACATTTGTGCATCTCTGATTTCTATCACGATAAATATTATATAAAAAAATTTAACTTTGAGAGAAGGAAATCTGCAAATTCATACTTACAACTACTTTGTGCCATGAATTTTCAGGATCACCACCATGTCTAGATTTGCCTCCTATGTGTAAACAAAAATGTAAGCACATAAATAAGTAATTAAAAAAACGCATACAACTTTCTGTTGTTTAAGGTTATTGAGAGAAATTAATGATTCAATAATTGGTATAAAATCTAAAAAACAACACACTTGCAAACGATACAGTTAAAAGTAAATATAATCAAATCAAACTCTTAAATACCATGACAAAAATGAAGTTAATCTAATTAAATCACAAATAGCTTAATAAAATTACAATTACTAGTTAGATTCGGCTTAATATACTTAGTCTTGTCACATCAATGCCACCACCTAATAAACATGCAGGTAGAGGGCCAATTTCAATCGAAGTAGTCCCAGATTCTCAACTGGGGAGTTTGGCGGCTAGGAGTTCATTCTGGAGCTCTTTGAATCAGACACATTTACTGAGCATTGTCCTGTTGGTAGATGCCATCATCCAGAAGAAAGTAGGGGTCGACATAGTTTTCAAAAACAGATGAATAATCAGCATGTGTGCATAACTGAGGCGTCTACTGCAGAGACCCATACACAACAACATTCACTGAAAGACAGTATTGGTAGCTACGTTCATCGGTATAGACAGTATCTCAACATTTGCATGCCAATTTGTCCAAACATATCCCCATAGTCGTTGTTCACCACTGTAATTAATTAAGTGATTTATGGTGTATGATGCATTATAATTGCCCGGTCGCTGATTTTGGATAGTGCCATTAAGCAATGCATGGTATAATTCAACCACAGAGGCAAGCAAACAGTTTACAAAAATACTTCCCACCCTTCAACTGAAATACAATGATCATACACTTATAGATAAAGCACTTGGGTTTCTGCATTAAGCCAATGATGTTGGTACTAAAAGCATGTGACGGTCACATTAATGTGACTGTACTGTCTATAACAAAAGTTTATATCACTTATGAAAACATCTCATCATTGTAAAATACTAAAAATTATCAAATAAAATAAGTATAACTCTACATGAGCTTAAAAAAGAATATTTAAACCAGGGTTCGCCAAGTGGGCCCACTTTGAAAAAACCCGCCCGGGTTTTATTGGGTGGGCCCACCTTGAAAAAACCCACTTGGAACGATGAGTGGGTTTTTTAAAAAAAAAAAAATTTTTTTTTTACTAAAACTTATTGTTTTGCATTTACTTTTATATAATTTACTGTGCAGCATAAATTTGTCAAATAGAGTTGCATGATTTATGTGATTAAGTTTTTAATATTAGTAAAGTAAAAGAAACTCGAATCTTCATATAGTTTTATAGTAGGTACTATTGAAAACTTTAAGTGGGTTTTTTCAAAAAGTAATATTTTAATGATATTAAATCAAATAATAATTTAAATAATATAGTCTGAAAAGATCAATTTTTCAAATATAGTTGCATGCTTTATATATTAATAAACAGGTAATATAATACATACAGGTAATATAATAATATAATATATTAAAAAAAATTGAAAAGAAACAATTTTTTTCTTTTTTTACCAAGTGATACATTAACAAATTTAAACAGTTTTATTTTCTAGCTTAAGAAAAAAAAAAGCTAAAACTTTTTATAGGAGAACTTTTTAAAATTATTTATCTAAAAATGAAATCCTTTTCTAGGGTTAATTATTTGAAAACAAATGGGACAAGTAACTGATACTCTTTATAATTATACGTAATTTTAATTTCACTTTCTGTTAATCGTATTATAAAAACATGGAAGACCATTAAATATTTATTCCAGTTTAATTTTATTACAGGTAAAAGTCAGATGAAATTTTAGTGTTTACTTATACAACACTATTTAATAAATAAAAATATTTTCACAGTAAAATTTATGAGCACTAAATGAAAAAACCCAATTTTCCCCGGGTTTTTTCAAATAAAACCCAATTTTCCCCGGGTTTTTTCAATAAAACCCAGGCGGGTTGGGTTTTTTCAAAAATCCCCGGGTTTTTTCAAACCCTGGTTTAAACAATAATTTTAGTTATTTATTCACTATGCTTTTTTACCTCTTTTTACATAGAAATTTTATTTATGTCATCAATTTTTTACACCAAGAATAAATTAAAAAATAACTTAGCCTTACTTTTTTACAGGTGTTGATTGTTCAGCTTGTTAGAAAAAACCAAAATACTTAAAGTGAAATTGAAATGTATATACATTACCACCAATATTAAAGAAAATTATGAAATTAAAAATAAAACTGCACTCATAATACAGGACATACTTAAAATAAACATTAAAAACTGTAAAAAGAGATAATATAAGAATGAGTAAATGAATAAGCAAATAATGAATGAGTAAATGTGAAGACATTTTTAACAGTTCAATAAACAAGGAGATAAATGAACACATTTTAGGAATTTAACATATGATAAACAAAATTGAAGCCTGAGATCACTCTATTTAAGATTTTATAGCAGAAAACCACTCATAAATTATTTAGAAAATCATTTAAATAGAGTATGTAATATATAGCCAGTTATAGTTGGTGATGAAGTCGTGCTCACGGGAGATCAAATATACTTATGGGCTGAAAGCACACAGACAGCAATTTCAATGATCTTGTTCAAGCAGAACCAGTTTTGAAATTAAAAAAAAAAAAAAAACACTTACCATTTCTATTATTATACTTCTTTCTGTTATTGTTTCTATGAGAACCACCATATGGATTGCTAGAAGAAAATATTTAATATTGATTAAAATTACATATCATCTTATATGTGTATGGACATATATATAGCAAATTAAATATCGCTAGACCCAGGGTTGCAAAAAACCCACCTACCCAGAAAAACCCGGGCGGGTTTTACTGGGCAAAACCCTTTGAGATCGACTTTCCTTANAGAAAAAAAAATTTTGAAATAATCTTAAAAATAAGAAAAAACGCTGAAGTAATACACTAATGATTATTTCCAAATGATGGTAAGGTAAACATCGTTAAAAAAAAGAAAGAAAAATAGTAAAATCTTATGAGGAAAAAAAATTTTTTTTTTTAAAAACTTGCGAGAAAATTTATCGAATTTCGTTCCGGTTTTTTGGTTTTCCGGTTTTCTGATTTCCGGATAACGGGTTCTGTACTGTATATAGCAAATTAAATATCGCTAGACCATTTTGAACTGGACCAAAAAATCAAGGTGGGCAATTTTTTTAACAATTGACGGTTTTAACCATGGTTACAAGTGATCATGTTTTTGAATTACTTTGATATCTAACTTTTTTTTCTTTTGGCAAGTACTGTCAAAAACCCAGAAAGAAATAAAAATAAGGAAGGATGGAACTAACTGGACAGAAGGAACAAAACAGACAATGTAAAACTGGAGTTCTATTGTAGTAAGAAAAGTGATTTTTCAATGCCTTTATTGGTGTCCATTTAGCTGTAAGATGTTGATTGTTGTTGTTTTTAATTTATGNTCTGCTGGGAACCGTGTCTTAACGATCAGTCCACTGCGGGACCTGTAAGATGTTGAAAAATTAATCAGGTTCCTTTTTTAAAGCTTTAGTATGTAAACGTCTTTACAACAATGCACTGTGTATCTATCTATATTTATTTTTCTATCTATAGTAGAATTTCAAATAATTCAAGCAGTAGGTGTATTCAAATTTGTTCAGATTTGCAGGGATACATTGATAAATGAAATAAGTGCAATTAATTATTCAATTATTAATCAGAATTAGAACACTCACAATCGTCTTTTATCCATTTCAGCTTGGTGAGGCATCATATCTACATCACCATCTAAATCTTGAAAACGTGGTTTGTTATTACCTAAAAATGCAATAAATACCATCAATTAGAAATATGAATAATGAATAAATGTGCAAATCTTCTACATTTGCTGTAATACTTTTTAAAAAAAGGTACTATAATTTTAAACGCAAAATCAACATTTATAATATATATATACAGTGTCTTGAAACATACTATGCCAGTAGTATATAGTTTCAAGTTTATGCGATTTTCTCAGTCTATAAACTGTTCCCCTTTCCGTTATCATGGAAACCACAAGCCTTTTCCTCTTTTTTTTTTAAATCCCTTGCTAGTCTACATTCCCACTTCTTACTTAACACAGGATTCCCTCTCAATTATTGAAAAAAAAAATTCCTGACTTAACCGGATAAATTTCAACGAAAATCCGTACCATATTCTATATATTTATACCATGAAATTTTTCATCAGAAAACTTTGATTTTATCATTTGTAATGTCAAATATTAGATTTTGTTTGCAAAAACATATAATAGAATGAGAATGGAAACATGGAAAAATTTTAATTAAAAGAGGAATTTAGTAAAATGTTAGAAAAATTTAACTTAAATCTCAATTACTGTTAATGACAATTCTAAGAATAGCTATTTTCTAGGTATAATACCATGTATAATTTTCCAGTATGATAGACTTAAGTCTCTAACAATCCGATAATTTCCACTTTCTGAGAACCTTTAGTGTGACAGATAATATCGGACTTCTACAGCATGTTCGCACCATTTACATGCAAAAATAATTTTGTATCATAAGTAATTAAAAATTCTTGGTATAACAAACATGACATAAGAAGATGATATATTACAATGCTAAAAAGCATTACGGAATAATTCATTACCAGATGAAAATGAATAAAAAAGTCTTGATCCACACATTCATGCTCAGTTATTCAGACATGTGATTGTTGAAAAAAGGAATTATCGGAATTTTTTTAACAATATGTCTCTCTTGCTTTTTTTCTTTTAGTACTTAAGTTTTTTTTACATATAAGATAAAAAAGAATCATTTTTATGCACTAAAGCAATATTTATAAAATTTAAAGAATGAAACAAAAGATTTTTTTTCATCAATACATAAATTATATATATAGATTTAAAAAAAAACAACATAGTTTTCCTGTTCCATATTTTATACCTCCTCCTACAGTGTTAATTTCCCCCCTCCTTTATTAAAGACTACGAAATTCACAGCGAGAACTAAAAGAAGATAAACGTTAAAACCACCTGTTTTAACTACAAAATCATGCTTATCAGACACATCAAAAAAGGAGTTAATTAAAGTTATGTTTAAAAATTCAAAAATTATAATGAAAAATATTGCATGTAGTTAATTAAAGGCATACTTTGCTTAAAACAGGATTCTTATTAAAGAATGAAAATTATATGGACAAAAATACAAACGGAATTTTCTTTGTCTTCCCATTGGTCCTGGTGGAACGTATAACTGCTTGGATCTACTTGGGCCTGCTCCTCTAAAATCGTGGTCTAAATTAAAAAATAAAATTGAATTAAAATGATTCAATATTTATTTGAAAATACAGAGGTTAACACAGCTTACACAGTAAATGAATAAAAAGTTAGCGATATGTAAACATAATTCAAATCAGAAAATCCTAAAAGAGAGAGACCCGTGATCAGGTTTAGCATGATTTGAATCATTATTAAAATCTTAATTATTAATTTAATTAATTAATCTTAATTAATCTTAATTAATTAATCTTAATTATTAATCCAAAATATTAATTTAAACTAAATGAATTTATTAAAATTAATTTGTCGTTTTTTTTTTAAATTATGCATTTTTTCTTAAATACAACAAATCTCTTTCCTTGATAAATAATTACAATTTAGAGTATTTTTTTTTAGTTTTGACATGTGCATTGCTGCAAAAGAAAAAGTGACTCAAATTTACCTGATGCGTGGCTTATATTTAGGGCTGCAGGTTTGTCGCGGCGCGATTTTCCTCGAAATTCTCAATGTCTTGACTTGCGCGAAAATTGCTTACATTTTTTTATTTTTTGTTTATTATTTTTATTAAACAGAATTTTTTATTTTCCTGAACCTTAAATTGAACATGTAAAATTGATTAGATATTTAGGGGAGTGAATCAATAGCAAAATGACATGAAAATAGTTCAGAAATAAGATAATTACAATCTTGTCAACTAAGGTGGTCTTTCTACACTTAGGGAGGGTAATTACCTTCCTGAAGTCAGTAAGAGTACTAAAGAAATTGGAATCAGAAAAGAAGGAAAATATTATAAATCAAATCTTTGACAGAAAAATTGTTATACATGCTATTGCACTGAGCAATAAAATTTCTACTGCCTTTCTACATATCCAGTTAATTTTTCCTAGACGGCCTCTTGTGATTTCTTAAATATGGATCAGTTTCTTAGATGAAAGGGGGGACTATTAGTTAGTAGGGTCTTGTAACTAGTAGTTTGAATGTAGAGTGTTTGAGTTTTCACAGCAATTACTTCTTACAAAGCAACGATTAAGGAATTGTGCGTTGGTGAAGGAAAATTGATCAAGTTTTGGAAATTAAAGACCGAACGATCCAAAATTGGCAAAAGTGGCGTTGATGCAGAAAGATCGTTTTCTAAGTATAAAAATGTATTAAGTGATGAAGGACGAAGGATAAATGAGAATAATCTGACAATGTACAATACTTGTACCAAAATTCTGTTCATTTAAATAAAAATATTAATATTGCTTGAAATCAAAGAAATACTTTTGTTGTTTATTTTTAAGCGTTTTTTATTATTTGCGCAATTTCTGTCTTTTGCATCATTTATATAATAAATTTTTTTATGTTTAGAATTTGTGTAATTTCCAAAATTTCCCGCGATTTCCGGGTCTTTTTTCCCGCGACAAACTTGCAGCCCTACTTATAATTGCCTAAATCAAGGGCAATTCTTTTCAGCAATCTAAACAAAATGAAAAATAATTAAATCATAGGTAAAACTATTATTTCGATAATTATTAAATTATTTAAGCATATTCTTTGCAAAATTAAATCATTTTAGATTTAATGCTTTAAAAAAATTTAAGATATATGTGTTTTTGTTTTTTTATCCATAGTTTCTCCATATGATCTTATAATTAATAAATATATTTTTAAGATCGTGATTTTTTAAAGTCTGATTTAATTGATAATGAATGAATCTAAGTTTTTCTTTCTTCTTTTACAAAGAAACTATGAAAGGGGGACGAGTGCAAATTATATATTACACTCCTAGAAGAAGAGAAAAAGAATAAAATTATAAGAGTGGCAAGACATTTTTCGATAAGTTTCGATTAACGATACCTATATGCTGCAAAATATTCGTACTAATAAACATATTTCTACTATACCGATTTATGTTTTAATTAAAAACCAAAACTTTTCAAGATCAATAATGAAGAAAGTCTTCAGAGGTCTGCCCAGGCCAAATTTACTACCGTTTAGCGGTACCTTCACAAATTCAACCTTAGGAAAAACAGTAGTTTCACAAAATACTTTTTTTTAAATATTACTTTAGGAACCCATAGGAAACGATAAATCCATATTTTTGTGTTGGTTTTTTAATATAATTTTCACAAATTATGTCTAAATTTTCACAAAATAGGTACCTCTCATAAAAGAAAAACCTAGAGAGATCCCATGTCTTGTTCAACTAAGAGAAAATTATAATAATTTCTTAGTGCAATGTTTCCAGATCCAACTTTGTCGAATTAACATAAATTTTATCGAGCTAACAAATTCCCCCCTTGTCTTCAAGATTAGTGAGGATGTTAATTTTGCAATATCTAAATAATATTAATTATTAATAATAGATTTTATTAAATGCTTTGAATACACGTATAAAAAAATCAATTTTTTTTTCCAAACTTGCCTGTGATAATTATTATAAATAACTTGCTACTAAATGTTATTTTGCTAACGTAGTTAACAATTTGAAATTTTCAGTAAAATTGATCAATGACTTGAGAAACCATTTCATTTTAAAAAGCAATATTTGGATCTAAATGGTTTTGTGTTATATTTGAAATAGCTCATTATAGAAACCTAATCAATTACGTTTCTCATAACAAGCAAACTTCTGGCTGATCTCAAAAGAATATACCAGTTTTTAAAATCAAAATTCTGCTTTACATAATACTAAGTTAACCTCCCACCTGCATCATTTATGTATTTATAACTAAATGTAACTGATTATAACTATATCTAGATGGGAATTCATCAAAGATATATTGTATATTTAGCTTCATTATTATAAAACTGCTTTAGACATAATTTCTATGCGACTTTTATTACAAATTCCCAGGATATTTCCATACTACAATATGTCTAACCAACTACAATCATCAAAGCACCATATAAATTTTAAACTTGAAATTTTTTTTTTTAAAAAACATGTCGAGGTTGACCCAGAGATGGCTACCATAATTATACTCTTCAAGTTGGTCATCTTCTATAGGGGAGATTTCCGTGTTGTGATCTGTGGCAGAATAATCGCCAAGTCTTGGCAACTTCAAGGCAGCGGCGAGCAGAAAGAGAACAACTCAAAAGGTATAACTCAGAGCCACCCCAGGGCTAACATATACAAGTTTGTTTGTTTTTTTAAATTTGCTGGCAATTGTAGCTGGCGCGACAGGTAAATATCCACCTGACATCTAGATAGAAACATTTGTCCTGGCTTTGAAATACATTCCTTAACTCCATCTAAATTTAGCATATTTAGTGTTAGAATGTGATACTCATACCTGCAAGTTATGAAATGCATTTCAACACACAATATAATCAGAAAAAGTTCCCAGTATTTATACAACGAATGTATTTATTAAATACAAATTTTAAAAAAATATGCATTCAGTAAGGATAAAAAAAAGAAAAATGTTGAAACTTTTAAAAACTAAAGAAATCATTAAATAAATATTTAACAAAGTATAAATCAAAATAAAAAGTGTTTTAAAAGTTTAATTTACCTTTGAAAATTTTTGATTCACAAATAATCTTTACAGAACGTAACAAGTAATTGCATAATCTACAGGCCTATCATCATATGTTTATTTCTTACTCAAGATAAGACAGACAATGATAGGTTGTTGAACGATCTTACTTACCAAAATATGATTGCTTTGACATTCCTTAGGAGCAAAATTGCTCTTTACTTGATTAATAAATATAAACAAAAGTTTACAATTAATTAAACAACAGCATAACTACACGACATACTTTTTTAGTTGAGAATAAAAGGAAAGAAGTTGAAGTTGAAGTTTTTTATTAACTTGGTTACAGTTACATAAGTTTAAAAATTCAAACATAATTTAAAATAAATAAAACTAAACAAAGAAAATGTCAAAAATATTATATTACTTACATTTCATTTTTTTCATTTTAGTTTCCATTTGATTTTTAAAATAAATTTGTTCAATCGTTTAAAGATGTGGCAACATATAGCAATCGTGTGAAAATGAAATAAAAAAATTAAAACTAAAAAATTTTACTAATATGTCTTTACTATTATTCTATTCCTAATGTGAACTATATTTAAGTTATAAGAAAAGACTAACATGAAGAAATGACCGTAAGTTTAATTTTAAGTTCGATTACTTTACATTAGTTTTTACATTATGGCTTACATTCATTAGTTATGTATAAAATGCCGTATTTTTTGCATAATATGAAATGTGTACAAATTTAAATATTTTTTAACCATATATTTCAGTACGTTTTTATTTTGTTCATACATCTCGTAGAATTTTTTAAATTTCCTATGAATGTAAAATAAGAAATTTATACTCTACGTAACGTCTCCCCAGCTCTTTATATGACTTATTGTCAATTATTTTCTTTCTTATTTACATTGTAACACATTAATGATTTATAAAATTAAAATGGTAATATTTCAAAAGGGAATGTCATTTTGTGGTTGTAATTGATCAACGCATTTTTATGAAATTCATAATAAATAAAATATCTTCTGTTACGTTAATTTATCTGAATTTCAGGTTTCTTAAAAATAAATTGCAAAGCCGATTTTTATTTACTTATGCTATTATAAAAATATACTGGCTTAAACAATATCTTGTAATGCTAAACAAATCTTAAATTTAAGATGATTAAAATCTTGAAAAATCTCATTGAATAAAGTTTATTTAATCTTTAATGAGCTGTATCTATGAACCATGCATAGCTACTGCAGTTTATAATTATTAATGATACTGAAGCAGAATGCTTGATAGCTACATCCTTAAATATAATTTATGTCTTTATCTATGATTCTGACAATGGGTTCTTAGGAAGCTGTGGTGGCTCAGGGGATAGAGCATTCCCCGTCCAATGAAGTGAACTGGGTTCCTACGGATGGCTGGTCTATGCAAATTCCGCACCAACCGCGGTGCTAAGGTAAATATTTTAGTGGTAGACAGATCGTGTGTTAGTTCCCTTTCCGTCAGGCTAACCTTGGGAGGTTTTGTGGTTTTCCATGTGTGCGGGTTAGTTCCATCAGAAGGTCCTTTGTGAAGGCAAATTTTTTCCAATACTTGATGATCCAGGAATTCATTTGTCTTCTGGATTGGGTTCAAAATTACAATTTGACATTAGTAGTCGTAAACCCAAAATTTGGGTTGACTGGACAAACTGAGAAAAAGATACTGCTCATTTGAATAACTCGGACAGCACCATCTTTTGATCTTTCATCTGGACGACATTGTGGGAGACCCCACAAGCTGAAATGCCGTCTTAAATGTTCTCAATACTTCTTCCCCACTGAAAATATTTTTTATTTGCCAATCAATTTGAAGACTGTATTTAACACAGCTGGGTTAAAATAAAGAACAGAAATAGTCTTTGAAGTGTTCATATAAATTAAACATTTATTCAGATTCAGCCGCTTGATGGTTGATTATATGGTAATCAACTCCATAGGTCCTCCCAGCTATGCATTGCTTACTTTTTCTGTAAATCGCTGGAGGCTTACTTTCACGGAGGTATTAACCACATTTCTTTATCAAGTAATGCGTATGTGTTAGAGGTGTTAACCTAATAATTGAAACTGACTGAGAACTAAGAGCTCCTATTCGGTATCATATGACTAACTTGATTGTCTGTGTTAATAGGAAAATTATATTCGTTTATCTGTTACTATATCTAGGGTTCTGACTTTTTCGTATATTCTTTTTGTATAGAAGAAAATATTTTTTGAAGTTTAAATAAATAATATCCTTGTAGATAGTTATTGTAGATTATATAAATATTTCTATATCATTGATAATATTCTGAAACCAATTTACTGTATTTAACTTTGTTATTAGGTACCCTTTCCGTAAGCGGACAGTTTTTTTTATCTCTAGAATGTCCGCGTAAACGAGGATTGCTGTACATCTCGCATTTAAATTAATATCTCATGTTAAAATATAATAAAATATCAATTTGTCAGGTAAATATTTTATTGTTTGAAAGACATAAGATAAATAGTAACTGGTAATTTATAATAAAAAACCTAATTGTAGAAAATTGAATATATATGTATATATATATATATATTTCTTCTGATGCCTAATAATGTGGAGGTTTTGATGTCGAATAATATGTATACGTTCACTGTTTTGAGAGAAATTGCTAAAAATTAGTGCAGGGTTGACTATGAGTTATACCCTTTAAATTTATTCTTTTTCTGTGTTTTTTTAAATTTTTCAGTTTTTTTTTTAAATGAACTTATCTATTTGCATGTCACATTTTTCTGCCTTAAAAGAATAGAAATCTCCTTGAGAAGAAAAAATTAAGACTGACTCCAAAAAATATCACAACCAGTCTTTGTTTGTGATATTTTTAGTCATTTGAATTCTTCCCAAATATTTTTAGAAGTTTCTATCAAAAAAATAATTTAATTTTTAAAATCTAATAAGGAGTTTAAATAAAATAGAGTAGACAGCTGGTATCAAATGTATTATGTATCTTCTAAATTCCGTGAATTGATTGACAATTTAATTTAATTGTATTCAAAAGTATAAAGCATTTTAGAGGACTTTTTAAGACCTAAATATTTCATTATTTTAAAAATATTTTATCTTGGTGTCAGACATAACCTTTTCAGTAGGACGTAAATTCATTTTCTATGTAAATTGAAGTAAATGTTTACAGTTATAAATGTTGAAACTCACTGCAATTTATTTATATATATACAGTGAAACCTCCAGGAAAAATCACCTCTCTTTGTGATCCCTTTTGGAAGGCACAGAATTTTTTCTGTAGGCTTTGTGTTGAAGAAAACCTTTAGGAAAGAGCATTGTTTCTCAACGGGGAAGATAACGCCCACCTGGGGCGATGAGCATGTTATGTGATTCAAATTTAATTTTAAAACTCCCAAATAAAATTATTAAATTAAGATTAATTTAATAAATAAAATTATTCTAAAGTTAATATTAAAGAAGGAAAAAAAAAAGATTAAATTAATATAATAAATTAAGATTATCTGATACAACATTAGTACCAGCTGTAAAACGAACTCAGAGACACATATTCTCCTATCCGAACCAGCACAACGCATGAGTCCGTAGTTTTTGCCTCTGACATTCAAGCCATTAGGGGAGAATTAAAGTGCACGCATTTTTTGTAAAAATGTTCGATTTGACCCGTGTTTCTTATGATGGTTTAGTGTGCTTCCTAGCAGTTTTTTGCCCAGTTTCGAATTGATTTCATTGTTTATTTGGCCATGTACGTTTGCGAATTAGTTCTTAATTGTAAATTATTTATTAATTTAAAAGGACAGTTAGTTTTCTTTCATTCATATTTTGCTGCCACCAACAATGTCCGTTAACATAAAGAAGTGTCTTCAATACAGTGCCGCATACTCTAAGTTTAGAATTGTTCAATCGCTGTGGAACTTTCAACTACCCATTTGTTTATTTCATACAAAGTTAAATATAATGAGGCAATGGAGCCTTCCGCTGTTCAATCGCTGTGGAACTTTCAACTACCCATTTGTTTATTTCATACAAAGTTAAATATAATGAGGCAATGGAGCCTTCCTGTTAGCAGAAGCATTTGCAGAATATTCACCCTCACAAACAAAATAAAGATTTTTTATTTTTCACGAACATCAAAGGCAAGTTTCTGAGGGCACCTTCGGTCTCAGACTTACCAGCAACCTCATTGCAAAAATGCGACGATGGTTTGATAAGCTCTTATAATATATTAAAATTAATTGCTAAATCTGGGAAAAGTCATGCCATCGGCAAAGAATTGATACTGCCAGCCAAGGTTGGCAAGATTTTGCCGTAGGTGGAAAAAACCATGGTAAAAACCGTCCTGGCAAACACAGGTTTTTGCCAAAGTGGCAAAAACCTATATTCTCCAAGATGAGAGGACAAGAACACATTTTAGATACAAAATAAATCCTAAAATTGAAATATATATTATAAATATATATAATTAAAGAGATTAGCAAAATTTTTATTCCATAAATAAATCATAATGTATTAATAATATCATTTTAGTAGTTTAAAACATTATTGATCGGAAGAGTAGTAATTATTCTCTTTTTTCCAGTGAAATGAACTTATTTTAAATTAATATAACTACAAATTTTAAGCATAAAATATCTATCAACATGTGTAGTTAATTAAAATCAATGCAATCAATCAATGCAATCAATCAATCAATGCAATTTTTTAAATTTCACTGCCGCTTTAAATGCTCTGGAGAATTGGTGTGATTTCAATAATATGGAAGTTAATATAACTGAATCATACTGCCTTACTTTCTCACTTATGCTTCAGCCTGTCGAACCTAGTTTACTGTATAAGGACACCTAAATCCCTATATGCAATAATTTTAAATATCTGGGTGTAATGTTTGATCACAAACTAACATGGAGGACATCACCGGCCGTGCCCTGAGGAGACTCAGTATCCTCAAACGCCTTGCTGAATCAAGATGGGGTTGCTCTGGACGAACTTTGCTACAGACTTATCAAATGTTTATTCGTCCTGTTTTGACTTATTGCTGCGAACCACTTGTTGTGGCGGGGAATCAGTGTCTGCATATCATTAATGGGGCGGTAAAGACTACTCCGATTGATACTATGCTTTTGGCGACTGATGTTAGACCATTGCAATCTGTGATTCAGGAGAAAGCTATAATTCTCTGGGAAGAGATCATCAGAATCCCCGGTTGCTTTTCACTTTGGAATGAGGCCAACCAGGACCTAAATAGAAATTTAAAGACTCAAAGGGGCTTTCTTCAGGGAGTTTCACACTTTGAAAAATACTTTCGAAATAAGTTATGATCCTGAATATCTTGTCCCAACCCAAAATCATTTAAACATTTCCAAATTAATTTGGATTTATGTCAAAGTGTAAATAAACGCAATATGGATCCTGCTATTCTGTAAGTCTTGACTTATGAAGCATTGAGCTCTTACTAACCTGAACCAGCGTGGCTTCGGATCTTCACCGACGGGTCCCTCCTACCAGACAGTCCTTTTGCTGGTGCCGGAGTTTTCTCCAAGGCTTTATCTTTTTATGCCCCTGTGAGACAGGGATCTGCTTTTGATGGAGAGATAGCTACAATCCGAATAGCTCT